TATACTAATAAGCATATTATACTAATAGCTTGCTTCTGAGATGCTTGTTTATCTCTTTTAAAAACTTTTTCAGCTGTATTTTAGTTAAATAATCAGAGCTTAATAACAGTAACATCGCTTATATATCTGAACTTTAGTACAAAATAACTTATAATTCAAACTTATTACAAAATAACTTACTTATAATTCAAGTTATTGGTATTTTTTTTATTAAAAATATTTATAGTCAATAAAATATATAGAAAACAAAATGTTAACATCGTAAACGAGCAGTTTTAATTTTAACTTTAGCCCTTTTTATCAAGAAGAAAATGAAATTTATTCTTCAATATTTACCCTAACGATTATAGTATGCGAATGTCATTTACTTGTATTGTTGACAGTATCAGCCAAACTTTCACAGTAATATTTATTCTTTTTTTGTCAACAAAATTGTAAAATGAAGTGCTATACTAATTAATAATGTTCATGAGATTGTTTTTTTTTTCAAAAACTTTTACACATAACAGTAATTTATTTTAAATAATAATAATAATAATATCAACATTAATGGTCATATCTAAAACAGCAGTGATCTTTTATTATGTAAAGAAATTAGTGCTAATAATGTTAATAACAATCACTATAATTACAATTTGTGATGTTAATTTTAGACAACTTGACTTAATTATTTAAATAAATAAAGTGGGATATCCGAAAGAGATCATTCTGACTACATGAAAAGTACTATATTAATTTTAATATCATCCATATATGTTTTATTAGAAATACTTATAAAAGTGAAACTTGTGATCTTTTATTTAAAAATAAATATCATTTAAAAAATTTTTATACATTCTTATTTTCAATTTAAAATCTTTTAATCATAATGATAATCATTGCTATTTTTAAAGTTAATCTCCATCAGAAATTTGATAATTCACAAAATATGGAGTAATAGTTTAAGTTTAAAAAGTTTCATTTGTTTTTTAGATCACTTATGGAAGTTAGCTTATTTCATGCTTGTTTATAGTTATATTTATAATTTCTATTCATTGAGTGAGCTAACTTAATTCATCAAGTGCCTATTGCAAAGTTTGTACTTGAACCAGTTTGAAGCTTATTTTCCATTGGATTAAGCTTTATCAGGCCTTGCTTATATCACAATGATCATTGCATTAATTAAAAAGGCTAATTTTAGGCTTATTTTCCAATATACGCTATTTTCTAAGCTATAAAAATTTTCCTACAAATGTTGACAACACGACAGACATTTGAAATTTTATTAAAGCGTAAAGTAATTATAAATTACTACCAACAGAGTAATATTATAGTATATGAAAGTATAAAATACTACAAATTATACTAAAATATAAACTAACAAAAAAGTACCTTAAAGTTTAAGCTAATACATAATAAGTTCAAATGTTTGAGTAAAGAGAATGCTTAAATGAAAAAGTTTGTATGCTAATAGATAATAAAGCAATGCATGTCAAAGGTCAATATGCAAAAACTGAAAAGTAATGTTAAAGTATAAATTACTTCAAAGTATATTTAATTTCTTTAAGGGCTATTTTTAAATTATAATTGAATTTAGCTGAGACAACGAAGGAATATGCAAATGTTGCGATCGGTAAAATTATACCAAATACAAGTGCACAATCAGGAACAGCTAGTGTTTGTTTTTTATTTCTTCTTAATTTTCAAGCTATAATTACTTTGTAAATAACTTTTAGTGTTGTTTTTGTTTAAAAATGTGTTCGTTTTAAAGTTATCCAAAGTTATAATAAACAGTTGACAGAAATAATAGTGTTCAATTCAAATGAGATTTAAAATACAAATTCAAAAATTCAAAAACTCAAAAACATTTATTTGTCATAAAGTGCTAAATCTGTTTCTGATATCAAATTAAAAAGTAAAAAATTTTAAATGACTGATAATTTAGATGTGCTGTAAATGGTAATTCAAATTCAATGTAATTAAATAATGACAAAATTATGAGTAATTGAAAATTATTCATATATTTTAGAGGTAAAAAATTATTTTATTCGTATATATGAGGATTGATATAAGCATACGGTTGATTATCACTATTCATAAATTTTTCATTACGTAAATAAGTAATAATAATAATTCGAATTCAAAATTATTTATTCTTATTTAAATAAATTTGAATTACTATTATTAATTTCAAAATTACAATTTGAAAATATTTATTATCAACAATGTTCAACTTTAGTAAGTAATTGCAAATGAATATGTAGTTGTTTTTTGATTTTTAGATCAATAATTTAAATAATTGCAAAGCAAATATATTAAAAGATATTCAAAGCACTTATTATTTTAGTATTAG